CGGCCTGTTTGGGCTTCTTCAAATCCATGACAAATTCGAGCATGCAAAGCTAAGATCTCGGTCCAGGGATGGTGATCAATTTTTTGGTGATGCTAACTTCATCCAATTTAATGAGGGTTGGCCAAAAAACACATCGGGAAACCTGCAACTCGTCGGGAAAATTGGAGCTGTGAGGTTCCGTTCGAACAACGCATAGCTAGAGAGGGAGGGAGGATAGAGAAATAGAGACTGGAATCAATAAGGAGTTTGACCAAGAATGAGAAAGAGACATGAATTGAAAGGTCTGAGAGGAAAAAACGAGGGAGAGGGTGGGACGATGAGAGAAGAGGAAAAGAGTGGGACGGAAATGGTAGGAAAAGATGGAGAAAAAGATAAGATCATAATAAAATATTAATAATTTATATATTAAATAAAATAATATTAGAATTTGTTATTATCCAGCTTCTTAGTCCAATACTGCACCAAACGCTTCACTAAGTTAGTCCAGTTTAGTCTAGTCTAAGCCAGTCCAGCTTAGTCCTTGAAGCTAATCCAGTCCGAGATAGTCCGGCGCAACAAACGCCCCCTAAAGGCCTTATTCTGGGAACCAAGAGGAAGCAGCGACTTGCCTCGTTGAATACGGTCCTCAGTAGTGAAGGACCCGTCTAGGCCTGGCAAACGGTCGTGTTTGCCTACACCTATTATCTTAATAGGTTGTGTTGTGTTACACCTGTTATCTTAAATGGTCCTTAACGAGTCGGGTTACTTTACCCAACAGATAAAATGACTCAATCCGTTATAACCTGTTGAGAAAATTATTCTTTTCTTAAATTTGCACATACCAGATTGCCACATAAATATTATTTCAAAACATAAAAACACATTTGTCGTTAAGTACTACATCTACACTCCAAAATAAGAGCCTAATAAAAAAGCAACAATACACTAATAGTCTACCGCAAAATATCAAATGTGCCATATGCAAAATGAAGGAATTTTTCTTTTCAAGGTTGTGAAACCTTTCTCAGAAGTTAAAACATTACCAATGAAACTCAAAGCTTGCATGTTATTCATTTTACAAAATCCTTCAATTTTCATCGATCATTATGGGAAAATTGTATTGGAACTTTGGCTTGATCTATTGCCTATAAGTGTTATGTTGATGACGTTTTCAGTAAGGTTTTCAACATTAGAACTCTCTTCTGCATAAAGTAAGTATAGAAAACCCGAACATTATAAACCATTAAAATTATGAGAAGTTTACCAAAATAATTATGAAAAGAAATAAAACAATAGTACTATACCATATACAAATATATTAGCTCATTTTCCAAATTTTCTAAATTTAATTTAATATATATAATATAATATATATATTTATATCACACATATATATATAATCATTTATATATAATATTATATATAATATAATTATTATAATATTTTAAGGGTATAAAATTATTAAATAAATATTTTGCTTATCGTGTATCGGGTTAGCCACATGCATACCCAGACCAACCCATACGTTATCTTAACAGGTGCTTATCGAATTACTTGATAACGACCAAATTCGTTATCGTGTCGACCTGATAACCTGTTAATTTCGTGTCGTTTCGTGTTGGGTTAACAAGTTGTGTAAAAAATTGCCAGGCATAGAACCGCCCACTGCAGTTAAGCACTTTGGTGATTCTGCAGCCATAATGCACCTATGGAATGCAAGCGTCAAACCATAGATACTCCAAGCCAATGCAACATGCGGGAATAAATGCAAAGTGAGGCACGACAAAGAATCTACCTTGGGAAAGCAAGTAGGCACACCCCGGGAAAGCAAAACTGTACGTTCATAAAATTCAAAATTTTATGCCAAAGTTTAAGACCTTAACATGGAACTACTTTCCCTACATGCTATCATGCAAAACACCTACATCTTTTCCTACACATGCCATGCTATCAAAGCCCTATAAGATCCAACCAAGGAAAGTATGTTATACGCATATCCAAGCAAAAACAGGCTATATACAGTCAAGCTAATCATGCCAAGTAGATCGATGTAATCAATCGATCGATCCTGCTTAAGCACGTAGCAACATGCAAGCAAGCTAAGCTCGATGACAATTGCGTAGCATACATGAAAAGCAAGAAAGAAATCACAGAAAGTAAACACACAAGATTTCGAAGCAGCAAGACTGCCCAAGGAGTGGAGTGCAATTTCCCAAAGGAAAAAGTTGCACCCCTTACGCCCTATGTTGAAATCCCAAAATCTGTGGAACGCATAATCACAGAGAAGATATGCATGCCTAATTTCATCACTAGGGCAAATAGAAAAAGGCAAAAAGAAGGAGAAAAAAAAATAAAAAATGAATCAAGGGAAGAATTTCCTTACCTGAAAAAAAAACCTTGTCGTAGAGCACAGAGAAGCATGAACAGGGTGGCACAACCCAGTGCAAAAAGCAAAGATGAATTTGAAAGAAAAGCAGTTATGGGAAATTTAAAGAAGTAAGGAGAATTAAAAAAGAAGAAGGAAAAGCAGGGACAAATTAAATACTTCTCCTAGGAAGAAGAGCAGTTTGTAACGGTTACCAAGTGAAGGCAGGGGAATGCCTACAGTTTCTCCATATGATTGGACATGCACAGAAAACAAGGGAGCACAACAACATGGAGTTATCAGCTTCCATGCGAGAAAAGGAAGAGTGACATCAGGAAGCCCACATTCAAAAAGGAATCCCTTGGGCCTGGGGTTAATTATTCAGCCCACTCAAGGTGTCTCATAGCCCAAATAATCAAGGGGGCTAATGTTAAGGCCCAATTGTCATGTAAAGCCTACATTCAAGGTCAAACACATGCCAAGGTATGGGCTCGATGAGGAATATATTTACCTACATGCCATGCCATGGTGATTAAGCCTGACATTCATGTCATGCTCATGCCTATTAATCATGTCATGCTTCCTAAGCCCAAGTCACGTATTTGGGGCTTGTCAAGTGGATTGTGGTGTAGATGGTTACAGAAGGTTATCGGGCCTACGTGGAATCAGGGTCATGGAAGACCTTGGCCTGCGTGGGGTTCCAAAGATCCAATCCCATACCCTATGTCTCTCACGTAGGCATCATTGAGAGAGAATTAGCCTAGTTTACCCCTTTCCCTAGCAAGCCAACTCCCTTAGTTAGGACTAAACTAGATTCTTACATTAAATGCATGTTAAGCCCAACAAGTCAGGCATTTAATGCTGACTTTCCCTTCTCAGCCTGCACAGACAACCAATGCACGAAAATCATGAGGCGCATTACCAAAAATAGTGTCTGCAGAAGGCCGCCCTGGGAAAGTCGCGTCTCGGGAAAAAGCAAACTGCTTGTCTCAACAGTGCAGCTATCTTACACCAAAATGGGAATAATAGGAGGGCTACCGAGAAATGAGGGGAAGACCAAGCCACAAAGGGAGATTCCTTTGAAGCCCAGAAAACAACCCCTCATCTACAAACGGAGGGAGAGAAGTCATTAGAAGGGATTGGAAGAACATGCAGAGTAACAGATGTTCTTACTAAAGAAGTCTTCACTAATGTTTTAAAAATTACTTAACAAGTGAGCATGATGACATATATCCACCAACTAAAAAGGAGCGTTGATTGAGTTGTATTTCATGATATTTAGAATTGTAATCACTTACCTATTGTAGTTAGGACTCATCCTATTGCAATTGTCTTTATCACCTTGATTCTCTTTATTTTAAATTTACCTCCACAACGAAGATGAATAACATATTAGAAATTCTCAGTTATTTGTTTCGCAAGTTGAGCAAATACAATGCACTTAATCTTGCCATTCCAACTTTTACTATAATCCGTTGTATCAGACGCTTTAGATAAATTGATGATTATTGAATGTGAGATAACAATCAGATGAACAAAGATCCAACGTCTAAGATATACACATGTGCACACTCGACACCTTCCCTTTCTAATTTATCTTTTTTTCATTTGAGTTGCTCTTTCTTACTCTTGAACAAGATTGAATCCGTTCTCCCACTTTGTCTTCTCTTGTCTCTTTATGTAAAGGACAACAAACCTTCAAACTACTATTTTAGAGAGAGAGAGAGAGAGAGAGAGAAATAATGGAGAGAGAAAGTAGTGAGTGAGTGTGTGAGAGCGAGTTTTTTTTTTAATTTTTGAATAAATTATATTATTCACACTAAAGAAAAGTAAGAAAATGAGTTAAGTTTTATAATGGACGAGCCATAATAATATGGTTCAAATTTTTTTTTATGAGGATCGAACATAAAGTCTCTTATTTACAAGTAAAAAAAATACTATTAAACCGTATTACTAAGTGGTAAGAAAGAGTTTAGTCTCCCAAGCTGCAGCTTGTGCAGGATTTGGTAGTGTCATCAAAGCACCTTTGAATTGAATTGATACTTTCTCCTCTCCTCTTTTGTTCCACCAAATCATCTTCAAAGTTGAAAACACCGCACCATAATCTTACTCCTTGAAGACTTATTGTTCATAGAATAAATCTTCACCTACTCACGCAGACATTTGCCTTTGCTTTTTCACACCCTAAGACAATCATTATACTGAAGTAATCATCCACCCCATTATTGCTTCCCTTCTTTTTATTATTCTATACATAAAAAAAAAAAATTTAAACTATAGCACTAGTAGTACACAATGTGTTATTATATAAGTGATAGAAAATTTTAATATTTAAGTTATTAACTTTTTAATACACATATTCTACCATTTGTATAATAACACGGAATGGTCACACTGAAAAACCTCTCCATATAATATGTTGGTTAATGATTAAATTTTTTTTTCTCCAATGATTTAAAAATTTAAATCTAACAATTAGCCGTAATGTCATGTAATACATGAGAAAAGATTCATCGCACCATATTTTGAACACACAAAGTCTAGAGACAAGTTTAAAACCTCAGATGTAGACACAATTAATATATATGTGTGTGTGTACACACACACATATATATATATAAACAAAAGGGACAGCTCTACTCCACTCCTTCCTCTCTCTCTCTCTAGAACACAGCACGGACTGAATTTGTTTGTGTTGTTTTTCTCCATGGATTCTTATGAAGCTACCAAGATTGTTTTCTCAAGGATCCAAAGCTTGGACCCAGAAAATGCCTCAAAAATCATGGGGTACCTTCTGCTGCAAGCGCATGGCGACAAGGAGATGATACGTATGGCATTCGGACCAGAAACTCTCCTGCACAATCTCCTTCTCAACGCCAAAACACAACTCTCCCTACTTCCTGCCAACAACCCTGCTTCTACTTGTACCCCTACTACTGCTACTTTCACCCCCATCTCCAGGCCTTCCCCTTTGTCCCTCTCCTCCTCCTCCTTCTCCTCCCCCTCCTCCTCTTCTTCCTCAACGATTTGGTCCCTCTCCAATCCCATAAGTCCCTCCTCTGCTTCTTCTCCCTCCTATGCCAATATTCTTACCAGAAACACTAACCCTACTTCTCTCTCTGCTTCTAGTAGTGAAGTTGTTGAAAAATACCAGTTTCAGAGCAACCCTTCTTTTCTCAGTGATCCAAAAACTGATGACTTATTTTATGGGGCTGAAGATTTGAGTTCTGGGGGGGGATGGAAACCATGTTTGTACTATTTAAGGGGGTTCTGTAAAAACGGCAGCGCCTGCCGTTTTCTCCACGGCGACTCCGCCAGTACTGACGGAGGTAGCTCCGTTAATGTTGACTCTCCAAGCAATGCCAATGTGCTTGAACAGTGCCATGAGATAATCAGATCCAATGCCGCTGCTCAGCAGCAGAAACTAGCCGCACTGTCACACTTCATGGCTGGTGGTGGTGGTGCTTCCTCTTTCCCATATAACAAGTGCATGAATTTTCTTATGCAACAACAAAATGAATCCCCAAGGTAGATACACACACACACACACACACACTTGTAATATTAAATAAAATTGTAGTAAAATGTATTACAGTTTTTGGTTATTTATCCGGAATCATTTGGTGCATGTTTCGATCTACTTTGTCCGTGTTTCGCTTCAGTTTTACGAATAAAGCAGATCAAGTCGTCTTTTAACTTTTCATACTTTCCACTGCTGTAAAAAAAGACTAGAGTGTAATAAAATGTAAATATCAAGCTTTGGTTCTTACTAAATTTAACTTGTGCATAAAGTTACTTCCTCTGAATGAATTTCGTCTGGATTTTTCATGTGTGTTTTTAGGTCAGCGGCATCTGTGTTGATGACGGGAGACGAAGTTCAGAAGTTTGGGAGATACCAACACGATTTTTCGCCCTTAAATTTGGGAGGAAACGTGAATCACAGTTCAAGGCAGATCTACTTGACATTCCCAGCTGACAGTCCGTTTAGAGAAGAAGATGTCTCTAATTATTTTAGGTAATTAAATGATTTTTCTTTTCTCCTTCTAGCAAACTGATAAAGTAGTTTAACATTTAGAACTTGTGTGGTTTTTGAAGCATATATGGACCAGTGCAAGATGTGAGGATTCCATACCAGCAAAGGAGGATGTTTGGATTTGTTACATTCGTCTACTCCGAGACTGTGAGGAACATTTTGGCGAAAGGGAATCCTCATTTCGTATGCGATTCCCGGGTGCTTGTGAAGCCTTACAAGGAGAAGGGCAAAATCCCAGACAAGTATGTTGATTTTTGAGTCTTCTGGTTTGTTTTTGTTTTTACAAATTAATTTTACCTTCCTTGTCTCACATTGTTATTTTTGGACAATTTCAGGAAGCAACAACACCAACAGTTTGAGAGGGAAGACTATCATCTGTGTAGAAGCCTGTCCGCCATCGATTCAAGGGAGCGTTATGACCTGAATCTTGGTATGAAAACATGATCCATTGATGGTATACAACAGCTCATGTGAAATGAGATTTTACTATTATTTTTCTTATTTGATATCTTTGTAGGATCAAGGATGTTTTACAATACAGAAGACATGCTTTTGAGAAGGAAATTAGAGGAGCAGGCTAATTTGCAGCAAGCCATTGAAATCCAAGAAAGGAGACTTATGAACCTCCAACTTCTAGGCATCAAAACCAACAATCTTCATCATCAGAATCAGTACTACAATGGTCTATCACAAGGCTCTCCATTTCCTTCACCAACTTTGTCACATGCATCCAAAAATCAATCCCTCAATTTTTCACCCAAAGACAGTAACGAAGAATTCACACAAGGTTTGCTAATTTAATGTGTCATGGAGTTCTTGATGTAGAAAGAAAGTGATTTACACACACTCTTTTCTCCACCAACATACTCTTACACATTTCTGGTAATTGGATTGAATAAATTACAAGAGAGACAATCCACGGAAATAAACAGTGTGTGCAGGCGGAGAAAATGGGTGTGTGGAAAACTTTTCCCAGCACTAATTAGTGGTGGTTAATTCATTTATGCTTCGTTCACATTGTTCTTGCAGAATATGAAGCTGAAAAACTGCAGCAGGAGATGAATCCAGCTTTTAACCATGGAAATGAAGATAACAATGGCAACGATTTTAAATTGCATGAAAGGTATAAAAACTTTTATATATGAAGTTGCATATTGTGAACACGAAATATTCCGAAATTTCGATGTCTACACATATACATTCAAAATTTGGTCAGAATAAATTTAACCTTCTAATTAAATTTTTTATAATTAAATCTTCTAACCAATGTTAATTAAGTGTGAATAATTTAAATCTTCTAATCAATGTTAACTTATTTATTTTTTTAATTGAAAAGCAGTATGGAGCACAATCTCCCTGATAGCCTATCTGCATCTCCAAAGAAATCAGCTGCAGGGGACCAAATAAATGTCTTCTCAACTACTGCTTCTGCACAAGTTAATACTGAAAGCAGCAGAGCCACAACCATTTCCTCTAATAATAATAATAATATTAATATTAATAATACTAATAATAATAATAATAATAATTTATTGCCTACCACTTTTATCCCAAATGCAGATTCCCCAAAATCTGTTCTTTCCAAATGCGCAGGTACTGCCACTACTTCTTTCCCCATATAAAAAAATCACACACACAAACACATGCTTTACTTTACTACTATGAACTGAACAAACATTAAATAAATACACGAATTATTAATTTTAACGTTTTAGGTTTTCTTTTGGAATGTAATTAAGAAAGTTAAGCATGGGCAGCAATGGGGGAGAATGACTTGGCTACTGCTAGGGTAAGCATACATTTCAATCTCTTGCATGATTCTATGCTTGTTATACACAATTCTAGCCAAAGAGATCATTTCTGCTAAAATTCAATAGTGATTCGGAGTGAAATTTTGGTAATAATCCTAATATTTTTTAATGAATAATTTGACGGTTAAAAACTCACTCCTAATGGTAATTACTTTGTGTATATTTTCTTAATTTGCAGAAACAATTGAGAAGGATGATACCAGGAAGAAAAAATCCTCTAGCTATATCGCCAAAAAAGCAAGTACCTGTATCAGACAATCTTGTAGACAAGATCTCAGCAAGATTACCATTGTCATTTATATACATCTATATATAGTATTTAGAAAAATAATAATAGTTGTATACATAAAAAGAAGAACAGATGGAGATGGACTGATTTATTTGAGTGGGGTCTTTCAGTACTATCTGCCCAATCTACATAGGTATGTGCTAGCTGGATCACGGCAAGCAAGCAAGATGCAATGTAACATATCAACTTTCATATGATATTTTAACTTAGGGTTACTTATCTTTTTATTGTACCACTTCTAACTTACATATCTTCTCTGTGTCGTTTCAATTTTGTTATGTTCTGATGGAATAATATATTATTATGTGTAAACTCTTTTTTGCATTGCATTTTATTATTAGGTATATTTTTCGATTTGCACCACGAACTTGTATAGAGCCATCAATTTTTTCTCTAACCTTTAATTTTAGCCAATTACCCTCTGAACTTTTATAATTAACCAATTTCCCCCTTAAATTTTAATTTAGCCGATTACCCCCCAAACTTTTATAAATAGAAAATTTCCTCTCTGACGTTAGATATTAAAATTTTTCATCCGTTTTGATCACGCGAACAACACATGACAACTATATGAAGACAAAAAGAATGGAAAATTGGATGAAATATTTAAAACCTAAATGCATGGTTGTTTATAAAATTTTACGTGAAGATAAAGTTCAGGAAAAAAAATTGATTAATTATAAAAATTTAGAAGATAATCGGTTAAAATAAAAATTTAATCGGCCAGTTGGCAGCTTTAGAAGCAAACGATAAATACCTCTTATTATTAAGTTAGAGTGTCACAATATCAGGACTGGAATGCCACGGTGACAAAATGGACGTTTTATTTAAATTTCTCTCTTGTTTTTTTTTGGTTCGAGAGCGAGGAAAAGTAAGAATGAGGATGAGAGGTGATTGTTGTACATACATAGGCAATAAAGTGGTGAGCAACTGCAGCAGAAGCATAACAATTGTACTGATATGAAACGGAATGGAGCTCCCAAAAGGCTAAAAAGCAGTGGACGACATGATTAAGATCTAGTTTGGTATTGAGGTAATTCTGAAAAAAACTGGTATAAAAAAAGCTAGAAGCTATTTTTGTGTTTGGTAAACATTCAGCTTCAGCTTTTTTTCACAATTTTGGGTGAAAAAAAGCCAAAAACAAGAAGCTACAAAACCTAGCTTTGAAAAACCGGATTTTTTTTCACATCTGTTTTACATAAAAGTTTACCAAACACTATAATACTGCTTTTTTTTTTTCAAAAGTACTTTTACAAAAAAGTTTACCAAACACTCTGCTGCTTTATTTCACAGCTGCTTATTTTCACAGCACAACAAAAGCAATTTTTTTTCAAAGCATAGCAATAGCAAACCAACCATAAGTGAACTGGAGGGTAAAAAGCTGAGTCTCTGTCTCCAACTTTAGGCTTAATCTACCATTGGATTATATGAGCTAGGCTGACCGAACGGAACGGAAAAGAAAACTTTTAGGGCTACATTTGAAAAATTATGATAAAGGTATGGGTAAAAGTTATAATAAAAGAAAGAAAAGTGGTAGTTGTTGCGATTCATGTGAGTAAATTGGAGGACTCTTTTGTCTTATTTTGTAATTTTATATAGGAAGAAGGGCCACAGAGTCAGTGTATCACATGGCTTCTGACAACCATTTGAATGGTATCTATCGAATCTGCCAATCTGGGGAGTGGGCACCGAGCACTCCTTTCTCTTTCACTTTCACTGAATTTTTTTCACGACCCTTGAACTTTTGTACCCAATTTACTGTTTGCATTTATAATAAATAAGAAAAGAAACCAGTTTACTGTTTATAATTTTTTTTTTTTTTTTAACAAACGATATTATTTATGCTAGAGACAAAGATATAAACTTAACGATAATGTGATTTAAATTTGTCTTTATCCAAAACCAGTCACTGGAATTGAAGTGCACGTGAAACTTTGGCACTCTTCTTCTTTTCTTCTTGTCTGTAATTTTCTTTTTTCTAGGTTGAGTTCTTCCAACGCCATGGCCAAGGCTGTTCCAATTTTTGCTGAAATCCCATATAAAGAAAAATAAGACTAAACCATACTTAGCCATGGGTAATTGTAATTTACAACGATGATGAAATGAAGTGTGAATAGACATGAGGACATGGGTTGGGTCGCAAACAACGATCTCTTCTTTCTATGGCATCAGTGACTTGGTGAGTGTGAGATAGGAATCTAGAATCATAAAATACAAAGATGGATGTTTCTAACTTTCAGGGAGGAAAGTTATCCCGATGAAAGATTAGATTTTTGGACATGGGGCCACATGCAAGCCGAATTTACCTCCTTGGGCCTAATTTCCTATGTTGGGCGAACCTCTATGTTATTTTCGGTTAAAATTTTGAACAATTTCCTTTAAATTTAGATTATTTGTTGGTGTTTGTTTTAATTTTGGATATTAAGTTTTATGGATTATTTTATCAAATAATTAATTGAATGGAATTTATGTTTTCGAACCTTTTATGCATGTGATTAATTCAATTTATTTATTTCTAGGTATGATTAGTGGGAAGTTAGTTGTCTGGTAGACAGTGCAACCACAAACATTCTTTTTATGTGAATGCACATATTTCATTAATTTCGTACCTAAGAATGCACCTCTGGCAACCCTCTGAGGCTCATCCAACATAATCGAAGGATACGGAAATGCCCTTGTAGTGTTGTCTAATGACATTGAACTGATCATCAAAGAGGCACTTTATTCTCCACGTTCCAAAAGAACGTTGTTGAGCTTTAAAGACATTCGAGATAATAATTATCACGTTGAAACCTATGTAGAAAATGAAGTTGAATTTCTGTACATCATTTCTTATGAATATTGCTAGAAGCATAATCTAGAAAAAGATGGAGAGTATCCCGAGTGGTCCATATACTACAACATACACCCCATTGGAAAGCCACTATGTGGCCGGCCCTAACTCAAGGACTGCACACAAAGTTTTGCTTTGGCATGACCATTTGGGATACCCTCGACGAGTTGTGATGAGCCGTCTCCTCAAATTTCACACGAGCATCCCCTAACTAGAAACTTAGACACGTTCCAGAAGGGTAACGCATGCCATACCTGCTTCATGGGAAAGCTCATTATTCAGCCTTCCCATGATAAGATCCATTCGGATCCTTCTACTTTTCTACAAAGAATTCAGGGCGATATTTATGGACCGATTCAACCACCCTGCGGACTATTTAGATACTTTATGGTATTGGTTGACGATTCCACATGTTGGTCACACATATACATGTTGTCCACAAGAAAAGATGCATTTTCCAAACTGTTGGCTCAGGTTATAAAGCTCAAGGTTCACCACTCTGATCCGATCAAATCTACTCAATTGGATAATGCTAGGGAATTTACATCAAAAACCTTCGATGACTATTGCATGTTAGCTGGGGTTGAAGTTGAACATCCAATACCCCATGTTCACACAGAGAATGGCTTAGCAGAAGCTTCCAATAAGTGCTTTTAAATGATTGCTCGATTGTTGGTCATACGTACCAAGCTCCCGATCATTACTTGAGGCTATGCAATGTTGCATACAACCATGTTAGTTTGCCTGAGGCCTGTCGCGACCCAACCATAAAGCGCCCATCAATTGGTTATCAGATGCGAACCTGACATATTGCTTTTGCGCATTTTTGGTTGTATGGTTTATGTGCCGATTGGGCCACCCTTATGTACTAAAATGGGTCCTCAAAGAAGGATGGAAATTGTGTCGGTTATGATTCTCCTTCTATTATTCGTTACTTAAAACCTTTGATAGACGATATCTTTACCGTTCATTTCGCTTATTCTCACTTCTATGAGAAAGTTTTCACATTGTTTGAGGGAGATAAGAACGTAAATGTTCCTAAAGAACAACGTGAATTATCATGGACGACTCCCACTTTACACCATTCAATCTGAGACTGAAGTGCAACACATCCCAGATCTTCAGAGCGTATCTCATAGCATGTCAAATGCTTTCACTAATCTAACGAGAGTGACGAAATCACATATACTAACTGTAAATATGCCTGCAAAAATGGATGTACCAAATGTACGACAAACTTCCCTCCTGGAAGGTCAGAACGCCTTAATGGCCGACCCCAGTACATTGGTAGCTACCAATCCTCTGCTCCTACCTAGAATCATGGAAGGCCCCTTGGTTAAAAGGATTCACAACTCCGGAAGAGGAAACCCACGGCACAAGCTGTTAAGTCTACCGCGAATCCACCTTCCGAGAATCGAGAGATTTTGGTCCACTATGCTAACTTAGATAATGTTTGGTGTCAAATGAGATGATAATCAACAATGCATTAGCATATGCAATAGCTATTGAGATAATGTTGAGCGATGACATTGAATCTCGTTCCATTGATGAATGTTAATGCAGAAGTGATTGATCAAATTGGAAACAAGCAATCCAAGATGAACTCGATTCCCTTGTGAAACGCAAGGTGTTTAGACTCGTAGCTCTCACATCACCACATGTGATGTCTGTTGGCTACGAGTGGGTTTTCGTAAGGGAGCGCAATGAGAAGAACGAAATAGTGCAATATAAAGCACATCTTGTGGCGCAAAACTTCTCTCAACGCCCTGTGATTGATTATGACGATACATATTTACCTGTAATGGATATGATTACGTTCTGCTACCTTATCAGTTTGGTCATTTCCAAAAAACTGTATATATAGCTTAAGGACATGGTAACTGTGTATCTTTATGGGATCTTGATACGGAAATTAATATTAAAGCTCCCAAATGACTTACATTGATTGGATCAAATAGTTCTAGACCATGAAACACCATCTTTATTTGACTGAGGCGTTCACTCTACGAATTGAAGTAATTCGGGTGGATGTGGAATAACCGTCTGAGTGAGTATTTGATAAATCAAGGATATATAAACAGTGAACTATGCCCTTACATGTTTATTAAAAAGTCACATTCCAGATTTGGGATCATTATAATTCATGTCGACGAGATGAATCTTATTGGGACTCATGAAGGGCTTAAGAAAACTGCCACGCACTTGAAGTCGAAATTTGAGATAAAAGATCTTGGGAAAGCTCAATATTGTCTCGGCTTGGAGATCGAGCATTGTTTAGATGGAATCTTAGAACATCAGTTGAACTACACCTATAAGGTATTGCATCGTTTTAATGAGGATAAAGTGAAGCCTTCGAATACTCTTATGGTCGTTTGATCGCTAGATGCTAAAC